ACGGCGCTTAACAACAAGTAGCATAATCAAGGTTGGTTGTTCAAACTCACCAGCCACTCCTTGAAACCCTATAAAGGGTTGCTGTGAGTCAGAACCAACTTGACAATACTTAACAACAACAACAACAACAACAACAGTGGCATAGTGGTCTGCTATCTTCAAGGTCAGCAGTTCGAATCCATAGCTGCTCCAAAGGAGAAAGAAGAGGCTTTCTACTCCTGTGAAGATTCATACCTCAGAAAGCCTACAGAGGATAACTGAGTTGGAATCAACTTGATGTTAGTTGGTTTGTTTTTGATTTTGGTTTTAGTTTAGAGACAAATATGTTGTGTAAAATATTAGCTTATTTGACAGATGAAGAAAATGAAAACTCAGAGAGATTATGAAAATTGTCCAAGATCACATGGAGGATGGGATGCTGTTAAAGGTTTGGGCCCCTACTTCTCTAAAGTTCTTAAATGCTGTCTCTTTTGTGAGTATTAAGTCTGCATTTGGGGAGTTCAGCAAAGGAATTGAAGTGGGGGAGTCAAAGAAATGTACACAAATGGTAGGAAAGACAAAGAAACCAGAAATATTATGATACTGCATCTTTTAAAGTTCTTAGTAATTACCTCTATAAGGTGCTCCTGCCTGTTGAATGGCAGTGGTTCAAGAGGATTTTCTGGAATTTTTATCTCTTCATCTCCTGTAAACCACAGACCAGCCTACACAGAACATAAACATGAAAATCATTAAAACAGTAAGCTGAAATGTAATGATTCCCTTAAAAGTACAAGAAATTGAAGTGTTTTTCCCCCACACTTCCCTGAAAAATGTTCCAGTATGGTGTAGTCTCTATAGGGAGTATGGTGGCTCTGTAGGATAAGCACTAGACTTCTGACCACAGAGTTGGTAGTTTGAGCCCACCAGCAGGAGAAAGATTGGGCTTTCTGCTCCTGCAAAGATTTATAGTTTTGGAAACCCTATACAGGGTCACTATGAGTCAGAACTGACTTGACAGAATTTAACAACAACAACAATGGTGTGGTCTCCACAGAGTGTACCATGAGGTGCAGGAGAAAACATCTAAAACTGTCAGTTATATTGATTTTTATCTGCTTCTTCTATAAATTTTAATTTTATATATTTTACAACATATATATTTTATAACAAGCATTGGAGTCCTGGTGTGGCATTGTAGGATAAGCACTGGACTAGTAACTGCAAGGTTGGTAGTTCAAACACTCTAGTTGCTCCTTGGAAACCCTATACTGTTCCTGTTGTTGCTAGGTGCAATTGAGTTGGTTCTGACTCAGAGTGACCCTACATACGGTTCCCAAGGAATTGCAGGTAGATTTGAACCACCAATCTTGTGGTTAGCAACCCAGTCCTTATCCTAAAGTGCCACACCAGGACTCCTATTACCTTGTTGTTGTTAAATGTCGTCAAGTTGGTTCTGACTCATAGTGACACTATATATGTTTTTCTTTTTAAAAAACTTTTATTGTGAATTGAGTGAAGGTTTACAGAGTAGACCATCAGTTGTACATTCAACAAATCATATATTTTGCTTCATGATATGGTTGCACTCTCCTCCATGCACCAGCAGTTAACAGAATTTACTTCTATTCACTCCAACCACTGCATTCCTCCCTGTGTCTTCAGCCATCCCATCTTTCTTGTGCCAATCTCCCTCAAGTTATATATTGCCTGCCCCATCACCCTTGTCAATGTGTGTCCACCCTCTACCACATGTAGTAAAAAACCACACAGGGATATTTAATTGTTTAAACAACTACAAGGCATATTCTGAAAGCCAGTCTTCTGGCTTCCAGCACACAACCTTTCTCTTTCCATGAGTCTAGCTAGAGTCCTCAGCTGCTCAATCTCTCCATGACATCACCTCTGCCTCCATATCTGGTATCACTGTTTCTCTGGTTAGGATCCCAAGTTCAGCTCATGCTGTTCTCTCTTGATGGTCCTAGGGTCCTCTGTTCCTGGAATGCAAGATTAACTATCCCCATCTTTTTGTTAAACAATCTCTGCCTTTACAGTTTGAATCTGATGACCACATGGCTTACTATGCTGGAAATTGT